TAGTCAATTTGTTACCGAATGTGACAAGATAATGAATGGTCGGCCCTAAGAAGTGCATTCGCTTGACGATACACGCAAAGGAATTTCAGACCAAAATGTTTTTAGTTTCTCAATTTATTTAAAATAGCTTTTGTGTCAATTTTCCAATAGAACACTCTTGTACCCATTTAACGATTGGCTATCGATAGGACAGTAAATCTGTAGTATTCACGATAGGTAACTAACTCCCATTTACATGCAATAATGTCTTCTTCTCTCATACATCAAAAACTCGGCATGCATTTTAAACATGAATAAATTAATGAAAATAATAGAAACGCCTTTTGAATTCGTATTCGAAGCAAACGCACAGACAACCATAACACATAGTTCACTAATTCGAATAGAGAAAATTGGAAGTCATTCTATAGCTAATAAAACGGAAACATAGATACACTGTATACCTACCGGATGCGTTTCGTATAATTACGTTAAATTGTCGTACCCTTAAATTAAGTTTTAAAATAACGCCAAGCGTCACTATTGGTTCCGTTTTTTTCTAAAGGATTTCTTTTCGCTCATTAGATTACTTCACGACTCATTTACATTCCACAAGTACCCAATGTTTCCGGAATAGTACAAGCTATGAAAGATTGAATTCAATTTGTAAGATGAATGACACCTCTTATTTATGTCCATTGATAAAAAAAGTGTTCGGGGTTTTTTATGCATGTACGCATAGAGGTATGTAATGGAAAAAGGCACGTGATAGAAATCGTAAATGGAGATCATTTGGATGGATATATTTCTTGCAGACGTCTCAATCGCCCTTTGTGAGTACCCTCTTCCGACAATCCGTTCTTTGATAAGAGGACAGACAGAAGGGCTGTCATTGGTAGAAAACGGTTCCTTTTGTTAAGACCTTTAATTAGAACACAATGAGATAACATTAATTTTTAACCCCTCCCTGATCTCGAAAAAGAGTCACACGGGAAAGTTATAGTTTGTATAAACCAATTATTTCGAAGAGACCTTTCATTAGAATACCATGAAGGGACCCCCCCGCCCCCATTTTCTAAAATTTAACTTGGCACCACTAAAGGCATGCGTATGCAAAATCTGACACCTTCAAGGTATAGGTTACTTACTGCATAAAGTCCAGGACCATTTCCCTAAAAGTAGGTCGAAACGGCAGAAGTGGGTCCGGACGGACAGTACAGCATTCAAAATCCAATAAAAATGTATAAGGATTCTTTACATTTAATTAGAGTCGTGGGAATATGGACTCCTAAATTTAAATGTGGCGGTACACAGGATAGGATTTTGTTTCTTTTTTGAGCGACGACGCGTGTGTCCATTTATCAGGATATGTTACTAGTCAAAACTACCAGACGTGAGCAGCCAAAAACCCCCATAACGTTGAAGAAACCAGCTTGAATCCTTTGAAGATTGGTATTTGGGTTGGCATTCTAGGAAGCGTACGGTAGGTCCAATTTTTTTCAATGATACCGTTACTGAAATACTGGATACGTTACTGAATCTACTTCATGATGACGAACCTAGACAAGAGTATTTCCAGCAAGATGGTGGAGAAACCCACCAAAAGTCACTCTTCAGTACCTACAACCATGGCCTACCTACAACAATTTTTACGATGACCGGCCTCCCCGTTCGCCATAGAGATGGAAGAATGCATCTTAAATTTGTTTACTCCGAAGCTATTAAATAGATTAAATGTATATATCAATTTCATTTTTCAAGGACACATCGACGATTTTAGTGTGATATTTCCTTTCAAATGGGCAAACGCGCTTTAAACAATTGTGAGCCTGGCGTTACGCGTTTTATTATATGTTTACATATTCAGTCATTAAAGTACAATTATTATTAAAAAAAAAATAAAATAAACGCATAGAACATTTTTTTAAGCCCATCTATTCTGGTCGGGAAAACCTGCACCAGCACGCGCGAATTGTAAAGCCACGTTGGTTCTGTTTCTTCTTGTTATGCTATTACGATAATATGATTAAATGTATATATCTTATCGATAATGAGCCGCATTTTCGTTCCTCGCTGCATTTATGAGTACCTACCCATACCATTTATATACGTAAAGATTAAGATTACATTATGCGGTTTGATGGTCGTATCACTATCGACTATAATCGACGATATCTTTCAAAATAAACTAAGCCGAACGTGACCACAACGCCGACTGTTCGAAAATCCAGGCCCCTCATACTCTGTCCGAAACGTGTGCAAGGGACACTAAGCCGAACGTGACCACAACGCCGACTGTTCGAAAATCCAGGCCCCTCATACTCTGTCCAGTGTATGAGTTTGCATTTTAAAAAGTTTAAAAAACATTTCCTAAACCTACAAATAACCTAATATCCAAAGCTGCTTTGCTTCACACTCCGTCCAGTTTGATTAAGAATTTTCGTATGAGTCTGTAGTTCGAAAAAAGTTAAAAAAAATATTCTGAACCTACAATAACCTAACGTCAAAAGCTACTTGGTGTTGCACACCGTCCAGCTTGATTAAGAAGTGTTGTATGAGTCGACGTTATTATGGTCACGTTCGGCTTAGTGTCCCTTGTTCACTTGTCGGCGATGTGGGCACGGTCGGCGTAGTGTCCGTCGGCGAAGTGGGCATGGTCGGCGTTGTGTCCCTTGCACACTTGTCGACGATGTGGGCACGGTCGGCGTAGTGTCCGTCGGCGTAGTGTCCCTAGTCGGCGATATGGACCTTCAAAAAATCGTGTCGGCGTTGTGGGCATTCGGCGAAGTGTCCTAGACCCGGTTGCACATCGAAAACAAAACGGAATCATTTCAGTTAAGGATTAATAATATTAATAATACTGATATGTATTATCATTTGCATTTGGAACGGCATTTTTTTATTTTGATCGTACAGTTTCGAAAACATTCCTTTGACATTGAAGCTTAGACCAATTTAAAATCCAAATCGAATTTTTGCAGTTTTACAGTTACAGACTTACAATCTCGCAAACATAATTTTAGGGCATTAAATTTTGCATTGAATGAGACCAGACGCAAATTTTTTTGGACCACCCCTTTCCATACTAGTGCTCATCGACGCTGAACAAATTTTACATATCTATGAAAAACTACCTTTTGCCTCCGCGACTTCGTGCGCCCATAAACATTACCATCTGTCTTAATTCAGTTTTTCTTCGTTCCCGTGGGAATTTCGGGAAGTGCTTTCTGAGTACACATTAACACCTACAAAGAAACTCACGTTTTAAATGTAAAGTCTATCTTCCGCAGACTGTAAAACGTTAAATCCCGTTTTTCCCGTTCCCTTAGGAATTTCTTAGTGCTCGCCTACAATCCCCAAGGAACCTACATGCCAAATTTCAGCTTTCTACGCCCAGTAGTTTCGCTGTCTTATTAGTCCGTCACGGATACCGATACGGTGAACCACCATTAAATTTTAAAACATGTTCACTTTGTAGGACGAATGCAAGTGATGATTTTACGATGATTTTATTTCCAAACAACTAAAAGTAAATGTCCATCGGCGGATTGCTGTATCGTAACCACTAAAGAGTTTGGACTAAATGTTTTGGAAACTACAGCTGCCCGAGGAGACTAGTGTGCAGCAGAAAGCACATTCCCATTGGGAAGTGATTTGATTGCCGATGGGGAGAGGCATGGCCTAATAAGAGAGAGAGGTACCATCAGAACTGCACGAGAAAATTTTTCTTACCTGTGCATTCAATAAAAAAGAAAGATAGATCCCAGGATGAAGACATCAGACTTTGATAATTTTTTGTTCAATAATACATTTTTCTTTAATTTTATAAATTGCTATTGTTCAAAATATCTTTGAAATAAATTGAAATTCGAACTTGAACATATGAGCTTGTTTTGCTTCCTGGATATGTCTGTAAAATATTTCTCTTTCCTCATCGAATCACCATGTATAAAGGTAAAGGAAAGACCAGATTTCAATATAGGTTACTTTAATGATTGGTGGCAGATCTACAACATCTTTAACTGATGACATACTTTATTTTCCCAACAAAATCCTTCCAAATAAAGACTTTTAATTACCACTGAATACCGCATTGGTACAAGACGATACCTAAAGATTATGGAGGTAGGTATACATACGTTAAACTTCTACGAAACAATTATGTAGGTAGGTACTGAGGACAAACGATTTAATTAAACAGTGCATTAGACCAAGATAATTTGCACCGGAAGATGTGACCAGTAAATACATCACCGTGCCACAGGAAGTGCGCTCATTCTCCCTTGAACAAGTGGTTAAAGGGTGTATCTGATACGTCAACAAAAGTAGGGCTTCCAAGTATGTAATCAGTCCTTTCGATAAAAGTCGTTCCAGCGATATTAAATATAGCTAGTTCTCAACAGTTTGTAGTATTTAATCAAAGCGATCCATTAAAAGCATACACATTTGGACTAAACAAATACAAATCTCCACTCCACTATACAGACTGCATTATAAGAAAGTTTTTGTTCATTACAATTACTAGGCGTTTTGAACCGAAACCGAAAGAAAATGTGCAGCGAGCATTTCTTTACATTTAGTAAGTTTTTGAAACAGTTTGGAAAATACACAATACAGTAGGATATTCAAATTACATTATACTATATTATACAAACCTTTTTTGGTACCTAATCACTTATTTAAATACTTACATTACATACTTGTAGAATATACGGTCCAATGAAAATGCGCGATATTTGTTGCATTTTCTGTTTCAGTATATTATAGACAAGAAATTGACAATAATCTCACAATATATCCTTCTATATGGAATATACCTACTGTGATAATGTTGCCAAAAGCTGTCTCCAGATCATAGATCTGAAGCGAAATTGTACCAAAGTGCGATACGTTGTTGGTTGTTCTATTTTCCAAGATTTTTTATAGCAAAAGGGGGCACGTTTCACGTAGATTTGAAATTTAGGGCATTGCAGGAACTATTTCAACTTTTAAAATGAATGAATAATGCATATTTGACTTACCTTTGCAATAATCCGTTTACCGAAAGTAACCCTACGTTTGGGTTTAGTAGGCGGATTGGGATCGTAAAAATTCTCCTCCATTCCATAGTCGTGAAGATCAAAGCTATCCAACTCCTCCATCTGTAACAAAATCGTATCGTAAATGTTTATTAGATTCACCAAAAAATGCTGACACAAAATACGAAAATGCAATGCAAAAACCTATACACACATGGGAGGTATTTGATAATTGAACATAATATCAAATAGAAGATTCTTTTTTCATTTGCACGATGACTCATCCGAAAAACTAGGACGACAGCCCTCCGCCCACAATCTGACGGAATGGTGGAAAGAACGAATCACAGGTTGTCTCATTAGCGTGACTGGAATCAGTATTTGCATTTGATTTTAATGCCGAATAGATCTGCAGTACATCACGAGACAAAGTCCAGTCTCGGTACTCTTTGGTAGGGAAATCCGGCTGCTATACCTTGCGATTAGAAATTCGGCAGACCCGAGAAAACGGAAGTAGTCAATGACGAGTACGTGAAGAACTTCCGCCTCAGAATGGCAGCCATCCACGAAGAAGTTCGAGATGGAATTCAAGTGGCAAGCAGCAGAATGAAGGAACAATACGACATTACAGGACACAATCAGGAGGTGATCTCGGATTGTCCTCGAAACTACAGACCGATGGGGACGGCCCTTACAAATAAGAATCCATGGGTTGATTTACCGCATCCAAAAGACAGTGAGGGGAAGAATTATGGTAGTTACATAAAACGATTGGCGTCATATGCTGGCCAAAACAAAACAAAATTATCTCTGAAACTTTAGAAGGCCTTTACGAAATCGTTTTGCGATCCCCTTTTTGAATGTCAAAATTCTACGTGGAGCCTAGTCATTTTTAAAATACTTTTTTGGGAATATTCTTGCAATTTTGATATTATTTTCAAAATCTTTTATTTAAGAGATCAGTTATTGACACAACGCAAAATTTCAATTGTGCTCCTCCCCCCCCTTTCCTTCTGTAATCTTTTAAATTGTTTAAATTATTGCAATTTTTTGAAACAATCTTTTCAACATTATAATGTTGAAATAGTAATCATCGAGTTCGAGATCCCTGGAGTTTTAAAACTTTTTTAAGCTGTACTAATTAGGATCTAAGTATGTAACCTTTTTGTGTCGTCAACATTGCCTTCATTAACTCATTGCAAAGTTTTTTAAAATCTTATAGTAGCTTATAGCTCTGGCGCCTGAACCAAGAAAAATCTTGACGATTAATGTGCGCATGCGCAATGTCAACTTTCTTATTTAAAGAGATCTTTTTTTGAAATTTTAACCCTACCAGTAAAAATTTTTTTACTCGTAGTTTTAACCGCAGATAGTTTTTGAAATTTGAACGAAACGTGTCGCATATTTTAAACATCAGGTGTGCGCATACTAAGTCTATTTGTAAAAGAATATTTATGTTATTAACTTATTTTCCTTTGTACAGGATGGTTTAAATTCTTGGTTTACTAGTGGGAGAAATACAATGTAAGGTTAAATGGGGGCAAAGTTACCCCTTTTTGTGAGTAAAAAACGCTTTTGAAATTTTTGAAATATCTTTGAAAATAACTGAAATATCACCGAAAAACTGAAAATGCCAAGTTTTGTTCTTATTTTCCCTAGCTCAAACCGTCGAAAAAAGATGGTTCTCGTTAGCACCTTCTATGGGAACTTATTTTTCGAATAATCTGAATCTGTTCGGAATTTCCATAGCCCGCTAGATGTAAAAGCTACAGGTTACTACTTTCTTATGGGCGTCATATTGGATTTTTAGAGTGAGATAGAGGACAAAAAAAGAAAAATGTTGTTAGCAGACTCTTTGTCTGTTTTTTTTTGGAAATTGTTTACTAATTTTACCTAGAATATTTTTGAATTACCTATGGTTACATTATCGGGAATCTCCTGCTGGAGAATTTTTTTTTTACTTTGGGACGCGAACCCAAACGTGAACGCGAAGGTGAATGCGAAGCCGAACGTGAACGCAACCTCAAACGTGAACGCAAACCTTCTATTTCAGGTATCGTGGCTTCGAATCCCAAAGTCAATAAAAAAAATGGCTCCAGAAATTTAATCCTCCACGGGTCCAAGGTGGCGGTTCGGAAATAGCATCCAATATTGTGAGTTCAAAATGGCATCCAAGATCGCGGGATAACTACCGAAATACCCCGGGGCCAACTGCGAAAATAGCCCCGAGGCGCCAATTACCGAAATACGGCAACCTGTGCCATCTGCCGAAATCTCGCACCCTGGACCAGCTGCCAAATTTTGATTTTGCACCCCGGATCAACTGCCAAAATTTCACCGGGACCAAAGACCGGAATATTTTCCCACGGTCAAGTGCAGCAAATCTACTGCTTTCGTATCAAAATTGGTGCATTATAGCATTTTTTTCATTCAGAATTTGGATTTATTAGCAAGTACACGTTTTTGGTAAAGATATCAAAAATTTCACCGACGCGCCTACATGATGCAAAATGCAGCGCCATGGATGTTTTCATTTTTAATATTTGCGTTCGGACCGTCCGAGGGTTGAAATCGTAGTACTGATATCTATCTCATAGAAATTTTGCTCGTTTTTACTATTATGTATTCCATTAATTGAATTTCAGAGAGGTTTTGAATGATAGTTAATTATTAAACAAAAATGAGCCGCCGGCGATGCATTAAAAATTGAGTTTGTCCAAAATATGCTTTCACCAATTGTCGATTAAGAGTTATTGTAATTAGTGCAATTCAACTACAGTTAAATTCCAAGTTATTGTCAATCAAACAATAAATAAATTCAGAAAGTGCACTTTGTTGTATTTTAAAGCGAAAGCCCGCATCAAAGAAAAAATGTACTCCATTGTTATATACAATGTACAGGATGTTCCACTTAAACGTCTTAAACATGTACTAACACGGTATTACTAGTCACAAAAAGCTAAAATCAAAAATATACCTCGCTGCAAAGGGTGTCCCAAAGATAGATGGCGATTAATTTTTTTTATAAAAAAAAGCTTAAGAGGGCGCTCGTCTTTAGTTTCAATATGAAAAACAAGAGTGCTGTCAATTTATAAGATAAATTACACAGTATAATGAAAGGATTTCAGTTTCAAGTCAAAGAGATATTTTAAGCATGGTTCTTAAATTATAACCAGACCTTTCGAGTGCAATTAATTTTTTTTAATGTGTACAGTGAAATTATGCCCATTCATTGTGCATTAAAATTATGCCGTGCCATTCCATTATAATGCATTCTTTCGTCCACATGTGCTCAAATAAAAATAAACCATTAAATCGGATTTTCACTCTCTGTCGTTGTGTCGAATACATGATTACAAAAACAGAATAAACACCTTTGCTTCTAGACGATACCAAATCAGAATTGCAATGAGCTTCCAGTTCTTGTTAAAACACTTGAATATGATTGTCGCCCGCTCCATCTCACTTCGTTTCACTTAAGGTTGTTTTTGTCTCGCATAGGGGCTGTTTAACCTCAACTTTCCAGATTTGAAAGCGGTGGTAGTAGTTCACAACGGTATATTATCTAAACAATTTTACCCTCGTCTCTTCAACCACTTGACTTTCTTCCAGGGTTATTTTCCATTAACCACACACTATAAGAAAAATTAAAACGTCGGCCGCTTTTGAGAATTCTGTTCTAAGGGTAGGTAGTGATAATGTAATAAAATATTTCAAAAAGCAGTAGGTTAACATGCCGTACACGCCGCGCTCATAAAGCTACTTTTACAACGTTGGCGAGGGTGGAATTGTAGGATCGGATCTTGTGTAATTTGATAGGACAAGAAGTAACAGGTGGCACACAGACTTGTTTAGAGGATTCAAGCTGGTCTCTTGTTGCAGCTATTTTTATTTTCTTAAGCTTGGGAATAACGTGTGAAGTTCAGATGATAATTAAATTATTCGTGGATCGAAACTCGATTGGTTCGCCATTTAATGTATCCCGTTTGTAAATCATCCTTGCACTCGATTTTAATGTTTTGTTTTAAAAATCCAGTTTGTTTATTTTAAGTCATTAGCACGAGCATTAGCATACTGTGTGGTGAAAAGTATCTTGGTGAGAAATGATGGGTTCACAAAAAACAAAACCGGACCTTTTTTTTAATTCTTCGGTGATGAATTTTTCAAAGACTTTACGCACGTATACAACAGCGTCATATTATGCAAATAATGTGAAGGAATCGGGAATCGTGTAGTTTTTCATAAATTACATTTTGGATAAGTACAGATCAAACACAAATTATGGCCCATTTTGCTCTCGAAGAGAAGAATAAACGCCAATGATACGTTTTAATTTATAAAATGTATTTTTCCTGAAATCAAATCTATTAAATGACAACTTACTTGATGAACTACACCACTTACATGCTTGGGATTGGTGTCATTCGATCAGAAATTATTTCATGTTTGTATTCTCTTTAAGGTATGAAATGTCCATAAGGGCTATTAAAATCGAAAAAAACAAATTTGAATGTGCACTCTTCGCCTCTTGCTCAAAAGCGGCTTACCGATTTTGTTTAAATTAAAATAGGAATAATTACATGGTATGTTCACTTTTAAGAAAAAAACTCACTGTATACGCTTTATGTATTGCGCAACAGTTTTTGCATAAAAAATTATCGTGTCTCAGATCCAGGGTGATGGCATAGGTAACGTTGTTACTATTGAAGATAGAGATTAGCTTAAACGCAATTTTTCAGTTTTGTGTGCTGACTAAAATTCCGGTTGCCCTATTTTAAAATCGTACTCGCTTGAAATTTTTAAACGCCGATTTGTAAACAATTCAAGAATACTAGTAAAATAAAAATTATGATTGCATTTTAGTCAAATGGGCTGGGCTAATCTTTAATTATGTAATAAGTAATTATTCTTTAGTCGAGCACAGGTTATCTTTCATCGCTTGATAAAGAATTAAAAAAAACACTATCATTTAACTATCTAAAAGTGCGATACAGCATCAATTGTGAAATATTGACTTTTTGCTTAACAATTGTTTTTGTATACTTATAAATGAAAATAACCATGCAGTGTAAAAATAATTTTACTAGTATTCTACCAAGGTAGAGAGTCTAGGATTATTTATTGCGGTCTCAGATACGAAAAAATTATAAAACCAAAAAGTGTCTAAACAAACCATAAAATTAAATTCTTCTTTTACAATCGACCAGTAGCGCACCGAAAAAAGTTCAGGAGTGGAAAATGGGACATGACCCCCAAAAAAAACACCCTGTAGATTCTCACTGCCATTAATGGGACCAATGATGTAAGCCTGTCGGTGTAACTTATTTTTCAAATTTGAGGGAAATATCTTAAAAACTGCAAGAGATATAAAGAAAAAACTTAAAAAATCTTGAAATTTTAACACCCTGTAGATCGGTAACGAATTGTTTGTGCACCTACATTTATATCATATAATCATAAAATAGGGCAAAGATTTAATATTTAGGAACACCCTGTATATTATTCTTTTTCGCTACTAATACTTGGAAGTCTTCGAAATTAACAGATTATATTGTTAAGAAAGTGAACGGTTTGATAAGAATTGTTTTTTTAAATAATTTTATGTCAATTAAGTGCGTGGAAATAAAAACAGGCGGTATTTTGTTCAGTGATTGGGCGTGTTCAGCGATATTCAGCACAGCTCTTTCTAAGATGTGTGAAGAACTCGCGGAAGAACTGTACAAGGAGCCTCCAAAACTCTAAATGCAATGGTAACATTTTATTAATGAGGGGCTAATTCCATATGTGCGACAGAAAGAAGGAAGGAGGAATGTATAGATGTGTGCAATGCGATCAGGGAAGTTGGCATTTAGCAATATGTACTTTTATTTATCATAATAATCATTCTATTTCACAGTTCAAGAGAAATGAGTTTTTACACCCTACCCATTGCGTACAATGAAATCAGCGCAGATTATGAACTTGGCATCAAACATCAAAGATGCAGAAAACCACCCAATATAGGGGTAGTGTAATTGGAAAAAGGAATTGGTGTGTGCTACTACTTACTTTCTGTTTTAAAAATATTACACAAATGTCAAAGAAATGATCATTAGACATTTTTCAAAGAATTTAAAGAAACCGTAAGAAAAATATTCCACCCTGTAGGTATGTCAACAAAAGAATCTATCGTACAACAAAAATATAATTTATTATGATCCTACTCGATTAGAAACGCAGAACAAACCATTGAATGACATTATATTAAATGTTAATAATTATCATGTCAATTCTTTCCTAGAAACAACGCATTGGCGCCTAAAACTGGCTCATGGTAATAAAGCAGACGCCACCACAAGCAATTTGTCCCGAAAATGGTAGTTTGTCAAAGCCTACGTTAGTTAAAAAAAATTAATTCACAGCCTTGAACACCAGTGTTTTTTTTCGCAATTACAAATTAATATTAAATATACGTGCAACTCTTGGTGCCACCGGCCATCTATAAATAGCAGCGATTGCGGTGTCTCATTTGAATATTCCTGCGATATAACGGGTTCTGTTAAAAAGTTGCTATTTAAATGAAGATAATAATTAATGCGCTAAACGGTCCATACTTTCAACAAAATTTATGCAGTCATAACAAGTTTAACCTTGTGTGAACTCACGCAAGTTTCGAAGCTAGAAGATGGAAAGAAAAATGAAGAGCAAGGGCACGAAACGAAACCACAATTCCAAGTCGAATTAAAATATCCGATTCAGATTTACCATAATTACTTTGCAATATAAACAGAATGGAAGAAAATTGCTAGCACAAATAAAGGAGCGCACCCGAATGGGTGAATTTCCCCACGAATCACGCACAATTGATAATATAATCATAATATCAGAGATCCATACATGATTGTGGCTCAGGCAACACGATCACAGGAAATTAAGAGAAAATCTGGGAAAATATAAGCAAGTTTTTAGGAAATTCGAGAAAATATTGTTCCAGGGAAATTTTGATGAAACCGTTTTGAAAACAGGAAGAAATTTTGCACAATTTGATTTCTTAGTACAATACAAATTTAAATGAACTATTCATAATGTTTAGGAAATCTTTGTTCCGTAAACTGTGTTGTGTCTTTGGAATAAAGAAAAAGTTAGCAAAAAAATCTTGTAGCTATGTTTCATATTAAAATTAGTTTTGAATTATGTTAGTTAAAACTAAAACTTTCAAATTGGATGTTTGTTTTGATCATTTGGGAAATGCTATCAGACAAATTTTTCATTTTTCAGATTGGTATTCTAGCCCGATTAGCTCGTTGTGCGCGGGTGCACCATCCTGTTGAAACCAACAGTTTCGAACTTTTAATACTTCTTTCGACAGCTACCATTTGAAATCTCGCCAGCAATATGGTCAAAACCTCTTTGTGGATATACACCGTCTATTCTGAAAGAGATATACTTTAAGAATTTACATTGGATGCGTTCAATTATATTTTTATGCTTATTATCATAAGTAAGTAGGGTACCAGATCAAATCACACTCGAGTTTGGATCGTACGAGTGACATAGCCCAGAGTAAACGACTTACAGTTTCTTATGATAAAGCCTAACACTCTAGAAGCTGAAACGCTATAACCTCTTATATGTTCAAGGAAGCGCAATCAGGAATCGAACGTTACTTCAAGATCCTTGATCGACGTTACACGGTTAAGGGCAGTAGAATCGTTTAAATAATTATAAATTAACGATGTTTTTTTCCTGCTGAAGGATACAACTTTACATTTGTTGCTATTTAGCTTTGTTTAATTTACACCGTTCGTGAACCACGCATAATTGGTTTTGAAGGGCGATACAATCCTCTAACAAAGTTACTTCAGTGTATATCTTCAGGTCATCAGAGAAAAGTAAGTGGCTACAGCCGGAGATGTCGTTAATGAATAATAAGAAAAAGAGCGGATCCAGGTTCGATCCTTGCGGAACTCCTGAACAGGCTTATAAGGTTTCCGATTTAAAACCATTGTATGTGACGAATTGGTATCGATTTGTTGGGCTACAGTATGTACTTTTTTTACGGGCCGTATAAAAAAATAAAGTTGATGATGATTTTTTCGAATCAAAACGTTGTATTGAAAATGTCTCAACCGAGGTCTCAACGCTATCTTGTAGAGCTCAAAAAGTGGCAATGAAAAAGTATATTGTTTTATAAGGAGTAAAAGTGTGACTTTTTGTGGCAAGTCTGAATGTTTGACGGCCGAACGTAGTGAGGCCGACAATTTCAGACGCGCCACAAAAAGTGCTTTTACTCCGAATAAAACATACAATTTTTTCCGCAAACGCTGTTCAAACGATAGAATTAAGGGAGTATTCCTAAAAAGATTGCAGCGCATCTGTTAAATGTTGAAAAATTTAAAACTAGATTGCTGTGGTTTGCGGTTGTTATGGTGAAAGAAAATTTTGACAATTCAACAAATTAATTATCGGGAACATTCAAAGCCCTTTTGAACTGTGCGTTTTTGGTAAGTACCCGAGTATCAAGTAGATAAAGTAGTAAAAGATATTGACCAATTTTTCTTGCAGGTTACATATTATGTCGGATTCCGAACTTAACTGTACGCCGCCAGACGTTCTTGCAATTGCCAAGACAGCTACGAACGATTTAATTCCAACGAAGTCAAGTAGAGTTTATAATCATGCTTATGAAAGATTTCTCACATGGTGCAATGAGAAAAACATTACAAACTATTCTGAAAATGTGCTACTAGCTTATTTTTGTGAATTGGCAACCAATCTAAAAATGAAGAGTTCAACAATGTGGTCTCAATATTCCATGATAAAAGCATTATTAAATCTTAAACATGGATTAGATATTAGCAAATATATGAAGCTACGTGCTTATTTGAAAAAGCAGAATGAAGGCTATACTCCCAAAAAATCAAAGGTATTCACAAAGGAACAGTTTGAAGATTTTTTAAACAATGCACCTGATGAGCAATATTTGGGGATTAAGGTTAGTTATAAAATACTTACCTAGGTATACCTGCATAAATACATTAAAGTTTTAAAATAATATATGCTATTTTCAGGTTGTTTTAGTAATAGGCGTATCAGGAGCATGTAGGTGCGATGAAATGGTGAATATGACAATAGACAATATAGAGGATTTAGGATCTGTTATTCATATAAAGATTCCTGATAGCAAAACTAAAAAGCCACGATCGTTTACAATTATTGGTGAAAAATACATAAATCTTTATAGAAAATATACTTCCTTGCGCCCCCCCGCTATGGAAAGCCGTCGATTTTTCTTGAAATTTCAAAACGGAAAATGTTATCGCATGGTCATGGGAATTCATACAATTAGTAATGTACCCAAAACAGTAGCAACTTTTTTAAAACTACCGGATTCAAAACTTTACACAGGCCATGCTTTAAGAAGAACTTCAGCTACATTGCTGGTGAATGGAGGAGCTGATATCACTTGTTTAAAGCGGCATGGAGGTTGGAGGTCGAGCACTGTGGCTGAAGGATACCTAGAAGATTCTTTGTCTAATAAAAAAGAAACCGCGAAAAAGATCTTAATGCCAAATTCTTCGTCATTGGGCCTGAATGCAGCTTCCGATGAGCGAAATTCGGTGGACGTTGATTTAACAGATGTTGAAACGAGTAAGAAGTCAAAGGAAATGTTATTGGCTAACTCATTCAACTCTACACAAAATTCTATTGAATTAGAAGTCAATAAATCAGGAAGTGTGTTAAATTTGTGCGGTGCAACTCTAAATAATTGTAATTTCACAATTAATATGTAATTATCGCTAATAAATCTCCAAAGTTCAACTACCTGATGATATTTACTGTCTGTCATGTCACTTTTTTCTCCGGCCGTGAGCGTACAAAAAAGTACTTTTTTGTACGCTCACGGCCGGAGAAAAAGTGGAGTCTGTGAAATCAAACTTCAACATTAAGAACTGACATTAATAAAGTCGTCATTTTTTTACGTTTGCGGAAAAAAGCACTTAATCCCAAGCGAAACTGATAGTTGAGGTCTGCGTTTATCGATTTGCGATGAAATTCACGGAATTAAGTCACCCCTAAAGTGATGAAAAATTCATCACTAAGGTCTTGCCATTTGGAGTAGAACGCATAACATAAAATTATTTACTTTTTCCCCAAACGGTCCCCCCCGCAAATAAAAAAAAAATCACTGTGGGCTCTCATCGACTTGCAAGGGGATTAAAGGAATGAAATCAACCCCTAAAGCGGTTACTGTTTCATCAGAAGAGCATCTGGAATTACATTTGAATATGTATTCAGCTAATTTCACACCATATACATTAAAAATTAAGCTCTAGTCGAATCTTGTTTGTGAGTATTTCTAGATTATCATCAGGGAATGCGTAGTAGATTGTTTACAAGTAAAGAAAAGTGACAGTTTTGCAGCGAGTGAAAATAGTTGCCATTTCCTTTTATATCGAAAATAACACCACTTGAACATTTTCCATCCTTAAATTTGAATCCAAATATCGTAAATGTAGTTTTTTCCAGAGATTTTCGTCAATAAAACATCAGATCTCAGATTTATCATTCAGAAAGATTTTAATATTGAGATCAGAAAGTACCAAAAGTCTTGTTCTGGTCTAGTTTTGAAGATACTCGATATTCCCCACAATTTAAATGAATCCCTAATATTAAATTCAATTGCAATGCATTCATCTCACTATATGAAACGCGATTTATTATTGGTTGAAACGAAACATTTTGGTTATGGTGTATACTGATACTCTCAATAATTAAGATACGTAGGTACTTGTTCATAAGCATTAACGAGCATTTTTTGCCTTTGAAGTTGAAGATACTGATGTAATGAAATGCATTTGATATTCTAATGTGTGATATTCTACGTGGTAGGTAAAGAAATGTCAATGTGCCGGAAAACTACAGAATCGCTTTCTAACTTAATTTGTTTTTATACAATATTTTAATTTTACAATGTTTTGTGTAAATTGATATATCTATTATATTAATAAACCATTTTTGTATTATGATCAGCTTTTAATTTCAGATATGACGTATTCGGTATAGATACCTCTAGATCTAATATAATTTGAAATAGTATATTAAGTATGGAGAACGGTAAGGGATTTTTACCGTTCGAAGACAATTGTTTGGAGGAGGAGCGAAGCGACGACTCCAATTATTGTCTGAGAACGGTAACCCTTAACGTTCGACGTGCTTATAACATTTTTTGCGCGATCGAGATTAAAATTATAAATATGCACTAAATTAACGAGCAAAATAAATCGAAATGATCGAAGTGGTATGGTGTACATCACTAGGTATAACCAGTCAAAATTGAAATTAATAATTTCATAAAATTGTGCATGTGCCGATGTAGTTTGCTAGCTTTGCACTTCCTTTATGACTTTATGAGCGAGGTATTCCCCGGTGGCCGAATGGTATGTCGAAGATTCTTTACAGAACAAAATTGTAATTGGAATGTGTTAAGAAAAACGAAAGCGCATCTTCAAACACATTGATCTCTATTGCTTCAGGTTTAAATGAAGAACGTGTTCTTTCTATAGGAAACAACAGCACAAATTGTGGGTTTAATGTAACAATAATTAAAGACTAAATGTTATGTAAGACTGTTGATTTTGAACTGATTGTTTTTAAAAAGGCTTCGGTAAGTATTTTTGCTGTTCTGTTTATAGATCGGTAAGTAATTTTGGCGTCGTCGTAATCATAGCAACTGGTAAATTCTACGTACTGTCATGGAAACACACATGGTAAATAGTCAGAAATGACCAATCGCGCAAAAAATAAACTTTGGCATGTTAGAATTTCCAAATTAAATATGGGTCACGGCATAGAGGAAATACAATTTTCTTTATGATCACGGTATGAAGTGAAATACAAAAATTGGTAAATTATATACGTACAAAAGTCTATTTTGCTTTTATCCCTTTTATATAACTTTGTATTCGCTGTATCTTACTAAAACACCCTTTTAGGGTCAAGTGCTTTAATATTTACTGTATGATGTCTCTTATTAGGCGGTAATAAACAGGTTAGTGCACATTAAATAAATAGTTCATTAGTCCTACAAACAAACAGTCACACTCTTGAATAATAATATTTTTTAATGAAAAAAATCTTACTAACAAATATATTACTAAACATAAAAAGGCAGTAGGTAGGTATAGGAATATTTCAACTGATCATATTATAGTTTAGTTCCCAATAAATAGTTCAATTCCGAGTTCAATTCATATGGCTTATAAACAAAGGATCATACCTAAGTAATAATGTTATTGCAATATGAAAGACCATATTACGATTACCGATAAATACATTGTTACTAATGCTAAAAAGCGAATCGATGTAAGGGAGTTGAGAACGGTTGTAATATACGGGGTTTCTACCTGTAATGTGGTCAGGTGTCAGGTCATCTTATTTAATTTGTAGTATTAAAGAATAAAGACCATGCTGAACGCTGTCCCGAAACTAAATAGGTAGTGAACGACCGTACCGTAAGAGTCCTTTGATTAGGGTGAGCGCATGAATATCTACAACTTCTCAAGTTTTTTACATTCTTGGCTTAGTGGCTTTTAATTTTTTATTTACCTAAGAAATAAAACATAGCTATTATCCAAGAATACTTAATAAATTATTAGTTACTCTTTGCTGTTGCCATTGCTTTTTTTTATACAGGTCGGAATGAAATCGTAAAGACCACGCAACCCATATAACAGCATTGAATCTCGTCTAGACGAGAATTTCTCGACAAATTCATACTACAAGGGATCCATAAATAATTCTAGAAAAATTAACTTACCGGTCGCGGATCCTGTCGCAACAGCAGCGACACCAGCGGCAAGTTTGCCAACCTCCTGCAAAACCGGCGGGACAAGGCCTCTACTTGCACTCGTTTTAGAGATGCGTATAGGCGATAAATGTTTTATTAATTTTTTAGGTGCATTAAAACTTGAGTCACTCATTTTGCAACATTTTCGGCAAATACGTGCGGGATACTGACAACGTGCGCGCGTCCCAAAATTTACAACACGCATGCGTGTGCCACAAATCAATTGGATTTCCTTTTAGATGACAAATTAACGTCTACTTTGCACATAATTTGTGTTATAAATACGAAACGGATCCAACAGTTTTGCAGTAAGTGGGTTTATAATGATGGATATTCGATAAATTTAGTGATTAGGTGTGGCACATTCTTGAAATAGTTGTGGTAGAAACCAAGAGATGTCCGTAAGTTTTCGGAACCAGATAAAAAGATAAGAAAGGCATCCACTGGACTGCGCTCTACAGAAATCGTTTGTACTTTGTACACTCAGCGGAACAGTTTTCGATAATAGCAAGGCATGCTAACGATGTGTTTCGGTTTTGTCAAAATGTCAATTCCAAATTGGCAGAAAGTCAAATAGTGACTTTTCTCTATCGCTGAAAGTAGCAAACGCATTTCAGAAGGTAAAAAAGTGTCTGATAAACGTTATAGCAATAAGAGATAGGTATGTATTTCTGTCTCATTTTTGCCACCACCACCAAATGAAGTCGGCAACTTAATTAGAAATGGAATTATGGCATGGAGAGACGACGCTTGGAGTTTCAGTAATAATCTCCGACGGTATCAAACATCACATCATATCGTACGTCTTCGGCACACGCAAAAGTAGTAATTAGTGACAACGCGTTGATAATTAACAAAAATGAGCGGGAGTAAAAAACTAATGAAGCAGTACATTAAAGCGACCCTAAATATACTCCACCGTTTCATTGAACTGGTGGCGAGATTCATTTTTAAGTTAACTTATGGGACCACCGGACAAAAAATGCCCCCTATTAAGGATCTTATTTTATTGGAATCGGTCACATCCGTTGCGTATAAAATTAGAACAAGAAAAGTGAGTAAATTTTTTCTTTAATTTTTGAAACTAAGAAATTTGCTAAGCATTCCTTCTGCTCTTCTGCATGACCAGAAATAAACAAGCTCAACTTATTATTTCATTAGGTTTTCTGCACACCTACAAATTTGACAAAAGAAAGAAGGAAGCTATTCCGATGTGTAAAACGTAATTTAGACGTGTTATGCCTCGATCCCACCAAAAGGTAAAGGCAACAGAAGTATTTCCATTATTGATTGATTGGAATTTCGTAATTAAAAGAGGGAGAGCTAGAAATTTGCATATATCCTTGTTTTCACAGTGTATAAAAATGGACCGGAAAGTCTCGTGATATCGTGTTTTGTATTCAAGTAGGTATTCAAAGGTTGCTAAAATATGCTGTTAGCAAATACATTTACGCACAAAAGAATGTTTTACGGAATCGGTTGTAGTTGGGAACTACGTCCCCAAAGGTCCCGGTTTTTTCTCCTTTTCTCAACCGCAACGTATGAGGATGAGATTTAAAAAAATTATCTACGATTTTTCAATATAAAATTTCGTACATGTTCCCAAAATTCCTACTGCAAGATATAATTTTGCACTTCGCGTGGATCAGCGTCGGGAGTACAATCAAGGTTTTCGAACTGGTAAACATTTTAAGTTCACTGTCGTACCATTGAATAATTATTATTCAATGGTCGTATGCTACAGCTACGCACTACATAATTTTTTGCGCGCGTTCAGGTGCTCATACAGTAAATTTAAAAATTAGTCCTAGCCAAGAGTGGCCAACGGGCCTCCATTTTGCTACAAAAGAGTATTATTACAGATTGTTTCGTACATTTACATAAAATTGTGGTGTAAGGAAAAAAAGTTCCATGGGCAACATGTGAAAAAAGGACAAATGCACTATGTCGAACAAAAGAAAGGGATCAAGTGTAGGTAATTCCTTCTGCACATTAGGTACATTTTTACCACCCGCACGTTAGTAACGGGGTATTGCATTGCGGGGTAAAAAATTACTCACAACTTTTTGACTAAACGACTGAACCGATTGAGAGAATTGACTTCGACCATTGATTATTTGATTATATACTACTTCTACGAATTAATGAATTCCTAATTTCTCAAAACGCGTCTCCTTTGGCCACGAATGTACCTTCTTAAACGAATTGGTGGACAAACACAAGTGGGTACTAGTATAACGAAAGTTCATACTTGTTTCGAAAAAATCGGGTCCAATTGCGGTTGATCAATGTTCATCGAGAGAAATGTAACCGGGTAAGTAATATCAGATCCTACTGGAGAAAATAATAAACACCCTACCACTTCGATCATTTCGATTTAGTGCATATTTATATAATATGGTTGTATATTTTTAATTTCGATCGCGCAAAAAATGTTATAAGCAGGGTTACCGTTCTCAGACAATAATTGGCTCATTACATTTTATGGTGAGATCTTGGATTTTCACTTAAGTAAACAAGAGCTTGAAAATGAAAATACAATCTCTTAAACAACAGTTTAGTATAAAACAACTCCTTGTGCTTGCAATATTGTTGCTGTGGGAAAATGTCTTCACAAGATGTTCCTCTTGTTGCATTTTACTTGCTACATTTTTCAAGGGCGGCCCGGGATGTTGCCGTAAGACACGACGCTTCCGCCCCGAGTAGGGCACTCCGTAAGCGTACCTACGCACAACAACTGGACTTTTTGGACAGCAGTTTCTTGTATTTTTTTAATCAAGTCGAACTAAGACCTGAAGTTTTTTACGCTTGTACTGTTGTCCAAGTCTAAGTTTGTACGAGAAGTTGCTTGAGTATCACTTAGCACGCTATCAGCCTTGAGAGGTTTGTACTTACGGTACTTACCATGTGAATCAGGAGATCTATATAGTACTTGAATGGAAAAATTTTGCACTACTTGTAGATCAGGCAAGTGAGATCACTTAAAATTGTTTTTCGTCGACCTCTCGATAACAATATAAATTACTCCTTAGTGACGAGTACAATGATGAAACTTATTAATCGTTAGCAACCACTTATAC